CAGCTCGGATTTTTTTTTTGTTGTTTGATTTTCGGCTTAGATCTCTGAATTCCTTTACTTGTTTTTGTTTTTTTTGTTTTTTTTTTTTTTATTTGTGTTTCAATGGTATAATTCGGGAAAAATAGGGTTTCTATTGCAAATTCGTGGGCTTCCGTCGTTGTTTTCTGTTTCCGAGCTGATTTTAGTTTGGATCAATGTTTTGAATTTTGTTTTTTTGGTTTCAGGTTTTCCATTTTTGCTGTTGCATCGGCTGTTAGCTTAATCGGGAATCATAATTGAGTTTTTCGACTATTCCTCAGCGCGTTCTAGGGCGGACATCTCGGTTTTATGCATCTCCTCCTCCATCCTCGTCTGATACGGAGGTATTTGTTTGTTTTGGTGGATTCCATTTTTGTTTCTATTCTTTTGTACTTTCTGTTATTGAGTGGATTTTTATTTATTAGTGTGTATTTTCGCCAAAAGTTTACGTTTTTGAAGTATCCTATAGTGTTGTATGTTAATCTATGGTATGGATTATAATTATTACTTATGATGGGTGTACTTGCGAGTTGCGTGTGTAGTTATTGTCTTATTGATCGGGGGATTATGGTACAATAAATGCATTGTGCTTGCCTTGAGATACTTTATTTCGTGTCTCAGGAGATGAGACTGTTTGTTTTCATGAGTTAGTTTAGCTGATTTGTTGGCTTTTATATTCCGGATTTGGTAAAGGATTTAATTAAAAGATGGCAATAATTTCAATGTAGATCTGGAAGGCCATTTATGTTTTGCACTTGATTGGCCATTATTAATCTTGTTTTCTGGACTTTAAACACCATTAGCAAGGCATTCATTTATTTAACTTGTTCTATGCTTCAGTATGCAATTATATGTTTATACCAATTTGTCATTTCTAGAGTTGTTTGTCTATTTATCCCAACAGCTCCTGTTTCCTTTATGGGTTTGTGAATGTCTATGCACTTTGGGAGATTTTAATTTAACAAACCTAAGCAATATTTCAGTAAAGCTGTGCCCTGTTTATTTTCATTTGTTGTTTTTCTGTGTTGCACACTTGCACTAAGAGTGTGTATCACAAAATAACCTATGAGTGAAAGGTGGAGTGCAAGTGAGAACAAGTGGATTGAGAAAGGCACAGCCTTTTTGTTCATATTCATTTTAGTTTTGCTCCTCCCCATTGTCTGGTTCAGCTATTGATCCTACTGTTTTAATGGTTCTCAACTGGCAGTGCAACTTGCTGTGTGATTAGAGAGAGATGAGTCCCACAACAAACGAGAGTGAAGATGGAATGCTCTCGGAGGATCAAACTGATTTTCCATTGAATGATGAATGTAATTTTGGAGGAAGTGCAGGTGGAGTTGTTCTGAAAAAAGGACCATGGACATCTGCAGAAGATGCAATTTTGATTGATTATGTGAAGAAGCATGGAGAGGGCAACTGGAATGCTGTTCAGAAGCACTCGGGGCTGTTTCGATGTGGCAAAAGCTGCCGATTACGTTGGGCAAATCACCTGAGGCCAAACTTGAAGAAAGGGGCATTTACTCCAGAAGAGGAGCAGCTAATCATTGAACTTCATGCAAAGATGGGGAACAAATGGGCTAGAATGGCTGCACATGTAAGTGTATAGGTCATTTATCATGATTATGTTGCTATGCTCTTTTAACTGGTTAAATTCAAACACCTCTTCTGAGCAGTGATTAACGTATTGAACTTTGAAATTGTATTTGAACACCTTGTATAAATTGAATTTTCACTGATTTTACTTAATCGATGATTTTTCTGGGCATATGTTGTATCACATTCTTATAATCCCTTTTCTGACCAAGGAAAAGCTTATTTCTAGCATTGAAGCATGTATGCATGCCTGAAGTTGAAATATAGTTTTTGAATAGGCTGGTGCATAACATCACAAAGAAGTTGCAATGTCATTTTAGGCTTGAGATGTTTGTTCTTCGAAGGATATGTGTTGAAATAACTTATTTTCTTATATGTTTCCTGTTGCCTGGCAGTTGCCTGGTCGTACAGATAACGAAATAAAAAATTACTGGAATACCCGGATTAAGAGACGTCAACGTGCTGGGTTACCACTTTATCCTCCTGAAGTGTGTTTGAAAGCATTGCAGGAGAGCCAAAACAGTAGTGCATTTCATGGAGGGGATAAGGGGCCTCATGATCTTTTACAAACCAACAATTTTGAGATACCTGATGTCATATTTGACGGTTTAAAGGCCAATCAGAATGCCCTAAGTTATGTCCCTGAGCTTCCTGATATTCCCTCTACTGGTATGCTGGCAAAAGGTTTAGGTTCTTCTCAATATTTCAGTTTCATGCCACCATTGATGCATCGCCAAAAGCGTCTTCGAGAGTCAACAGCCTTGTTTTCTGGTTATGGTGGCAGCATTAAAAATGACTGCCCATTTGACCAATTTCAGGATGATACTTTGAACAAGGTTGCCCAATCCTTTGGTTTGTCTTTTCCAGTCGATCCTGATCCTATAACTAAGAATTCACAATGTTTTGGTGTACTTCCGGGTAGCCATACCCTTTCAAATGGCAATTACTCTGCTTCAGAGTCCACTTTAGGGGCTGTGAAGTTGGAGCTCCCTTCACTCCAATATCCAGAATCTGAATTAGGTAGCTGGGGCACATCACCTTCCCCACCACCGCTGCTTGAGAATGTTGATGCTTTCATCCAGTCACCACCACCAATTGGCAGGCTTGAGTCAGACTGTCTTTCACCGCGGAATAGCGGCCTGCTCGATGCTTTACTTCACGAGGCAAAAACTATAAGCAGTGCAAAGAATCACTCATCCGAGAAGAGTTCAAGTTCATCAGCTCCTGGTGATATAGCTGAGAGTTCCACCCTGAATATTTGCAAGACAGAATGGGAAAACTATGGTGACCCCCCTTCTCCAATGGGTCATTCATCAACTTCTCGTTTCAGTGAATGTACTCCTATTAGTGCAAGTGGAAGCTCATTGGATGAACCACAGCCGTCTGCCGAAACAATTGCTGGTGAGAACCTTCCTTATGAGGACCATCGTGTTTTCTATCTTTTATGCATTGTTAAACAGTCAAAAAAACCATAATCTTGAATCTGGTTTCTGTTCTTAAATTGTAAGGCTCTTCAAAGTATTAATAATTTTCTTTGAATTTTCAAATGATTTCTATTCTAAGAAGTTCAGGTAAATAATAAAACACCCTGTATTTCTTTCTGTCATGCAGTTTCTTTTTTACTCTCAAATGCCCTGTTAAAACTCTTTTGAAAGATATTGTTTTTGTTTTTTATCCCTCCTTCAATTATAATTCCTAGTCACTCAGAAGTAGGTAGAACCATGCATGGCATTTATCACTTTTATGGATCTTTGTTTCTTACTTTACATCATTGAATTCTTTGCAGGAAGCAATGTGAAGTCAGAACCAATTGAACATGTTTGGACCTCAGAGGTACAGAAAGAGACTCCACAATTGGAGTATCCTTGCTCTGATACCTTGTTTGGTTCAAGTTGGCTTGATCACGGTTCTGGTTTTGACAAGGACCACGCCATCATGACTGATGCCATAGCAACCCTTCTTGGTGAAGACTTGGGTAGTGAGTACAAGACCATAACTCCTGGAACGTCTTCAAGTCAAGAGTGCGGGCTTGGTTCTTGCGCATGGAATAACATGCCTGGTGTCTGCCAAATGTCTGAAATCCCTTGAGATCTTATATGTCAATTGTGTATGAACTTCTCTAAAACTTTTTCATGCTTTCTCCCAATTTATGGTTGGTTTGATGTAGGTAGTCAGCCCAATTACCTGCTGGACTAAAAGGTCATTCGCAATTAGATTGTAATACAGTATTGAGTCATGGCTTTTTTTTCTGCTCCTGGACTAGTGAATGCATGTGTTCCCTATATGGAGTTGCATATGGTAAAACAAATGCATTCAAGCTGTTGTTATAATTTAGAATAACTATGAACTTCCTGCAGCTATGCTGATTCAGTGATTTTTCTTATTTGGTGGTCTTGTTTACTTTTGTTCAACTCCATTTTCATTTTGTAAGGTATCAAAATTAAAGAGTCTGTCTTCATGCATTCTTGTGGCTTTTTGATTTGTAGATTAGTTTTTGATCTTTTGATTTGCACCCGTTTTCTGATCACTTGAATGTATGAATGAAATGGGTTTTCTTAGACATCATTCCTGTTTGAGGGGAAATTTTGACACGAAATGCAGAATTTTCAAATGCATGCTTGTGGAACTTAGTAATTTGATAATCCAACACGAATTGTTTTCCATGCAACAGACTGTTATTCAGGCAATTAACAAGCATGAACTTAGAGATACCACTCATACCGTAAGACTTATTTTCTGCTAGTACTCGTAACTCTTCACTTCCGGAAGTTGATTCACCGTAGAGAGTGGAGAAGCTTGTTTTCCTGGAATGGAGGACTTGTATGGAGGGAATTGGCAGCAATCTTGAACTAATTTGATTCATGCTACCTATCGAAATAGATGTAGTTTCCATAGCAAAGCTGGAATCATCTTCCGGTGACCCAGAGGAGTCTCTGCTCCCGGAATCTGAATTAGCCGGCCAGAAGTCTCTGATATTACAAGCTTTGTCACAATCCATTAAGCGATTTGTAACTGCACCAAACCAGAAGTCCTTCTTCAGTCCGTATCTACACTTTGAATTGACCTGCAAAGCCCCGAGGTGGATTCTCGGGGTAGACACTCCGATACTTAAGTCAGCAATAATCGAGGTTACCTTTAGAGCGGAGAAACTAGGAGCTTAGGGTTGGTTTCAATTACCTTTTGGTGTGGCCCTTAAGGGGTATTTATATGTTTTGATGGAGAATCCACACGGCATGCCAAACAAGACGCCAAGCAAAATATCCGGGATACGATGTGTATCTCCAGGCAGTTATTTCAGGACCGGGAAATTGGGCCAAGCAAGATATTCGGGATTTGATGTGTATCTTCGAGCAGTTATTTCGGGACCGGGAGATTGAGATATATTTAGATGCAAGGATGTCCATCGTAACAGCTGTGTAACTGTTCGAGCGGGAAGCTCTGGATTTACCTTTTACTCTGGTTGTAAAGGAATTACTGTCGTCCGTCCAAGGTTGGGCACCTCGGACCTGCTCTTACACGATTCAAAGCATAGACACCCTGAAACAACGTTACACATAATCATTGACCAAATTCATATGTTTCATGAACAAATGATGAAGGTTTACCTTATCCATCGGTAATCTCTTCTGAGGATCTCTGCTCAAACATTTCTCTGCCACTCGAACCATCCCAAACAATTGATGAACATCATGGGAATCAAGAATTCTGGGATCAATCAGATCAGGGTAATTCCACTCTTTCAACTGTGGTCTTGCCTGAAAGATGACAGAATCGTATCGTCTGCAGTCAAAACAACCGAAATCAGAAGTTAAACTTATGACTAAAAGAATAAAAAGACTGTTTTGCCCATCCAACAAGACCTTTCCCGCCAAGTCTCTTGTCTGTTGTCTTCAGTCCGGTAATCAACTGCAACAGCACCACTCCAAATGAATAAACATCGGTCTTGGTTGGTCGAAGCTTTCCCCAACGCTGCATATTCCGGTACCAAGTATCCTAGAGTTCCAACCACCTCCGTCTCGAAGGAATGCTCCGAGTCCTCCGGCTGTGTTCTCGCCAGACCAAAATCTCCAAGCTGATTCAATAAAGCACAAAATTTATGAAATTTCAGCTCTAAACCTTATAATCATAATTTCCGAGCCGAACTTTTACCACTGCTTCATAATCATGAGTAACAAGGATATTGTTTGGCCTCATATCTCTATGTATGATATTGTTTTCGTGCAGATACTGTAATCCTGTGGCAGCTCCCAGTGCAATCTTCATCCTTTTCTCCCAACTCAGAGGTCTCCGGGTATGCTCTGTTTCAATTTCACAGAAATCAGTTCATTTTCAATTTTACAGAAACCCCAATTTGAAAAATATTTTCCTTTCTTACTTGATAAATGCCGATCTAATGACCCATTGCAGACATACTCATACACGAGGAGCCAATGGTTGCCTTCGGAGCAAGATCCCAAGAGCATGACCAGATTCTCATGTCTCGCCTTGCTAAGCACCTGAACTCGTTCTCTTTATCTCCTTTGTTATGTTCTTCGTCCTCCGCAACTGAACTGGGCGATTGCTTCCCTCCGGTTTCCAATTCTGTAGTTGCAGCATACTCTTCCTCTTTCGAATTTACAGGAGATTCTCTTGATATCCTGAACTGGAGGCTTCCATGCTCCCCACGCTTGAAGACTTGCGGCAAAGCTATAGATTTCAGTTTATCTTGTGCTGCTGCCTGCGTGTTCTTGTTCCTTCACCGGATCTTTCTTCTGAAAACTATCAGATGATTCTGAAACAAGAAAAGATGTTGAATTTAATTGAGGAAGAGTTGAAGATTCAGAAAAACATAATAATCTAATCAAAGAAAATACTAAATCAACTTACTACTAGGGGTAATGGTTACTTCCGTGTTTTCGGGGATCATTTCATCATATGAAACGTTGCTGATTCTTTCAGGGGTAAGTTTTTTATTATCTCTTGCTTTTGGTTCTCTTAGTTGTTCGACTACATTTCCCTTTTTCATCAGTGAGATTCCGCATGATAGATTCTCCATGAAATATCTCTTATCATTCTTCATGTTCCTGTTCCATATTTCATGGAATTCTTTTATTTTAATCTTTATAACGTGAACGCAAAACTACATGTTTCTTGGTTTCTATGTTATAATTTGAATTGCATAGGGTTTGATTGTGGATATTGAGATGAAAAATAACCCTGTCCAGTACAATCCATGTTGCATTTATTTTTTTGGCAGCTCTTTGGGCAAACATTTTTGAAGGAGAGCCTGCTCGAACTTTTAAGACGAATTCGATTTGGAAAAATCCCATCACAAAATTATTCAGTTCTTGAGTTGATATCAAATGATAATACCTGTTGAGAAAACACAAGTTCATCTGATTCTGACCTGTTGTGATTTACATTGCTTGGAGATTTCTACAATCGGAGCATTGTTTTTGTACTCTTCCTCCTCCTTTGCAATTTCTTCTGCAATGATCTTTTTGTTTGTTCCAAACATTGAGCTTGAATCCACCTTGATTTTATACCCCACTGGATGAGAGGAAAGCGGAGTTTGGGGGAGAATAAATAGACACAAGTTAGCAAAATCATTGTATATATCTACATAACATAGCCAGGAAGGTAGTTCTTACTATCAACTTAGTTTGCGTATCTTTGCATTCAATTTCTTTTCCTTCTGATGTTTTCCTAAGATAAAGTAAGCATAAATTCTTACACAGTTTTCCAGCCCCCATGAAAGAAAACGTATGAGGATTATTAACCTGGTGAACAACTCCGAGGAGTATAAGCTCATCTCCAGGCTAAAGTGACAAGCCTTGCATGGCCCATCTTGTTGCACATGTGCTTAATTCCCTTGTTGCGTCCTGGATCACCACCACTCTCTGAGAACCTTGTGTAGCCATGATTGATCTAGATTATGTTTTTGTTCAAAAACTAAATGACTGTTTGATTCAGTGAGTCTGGTGGTGGTGAATCCAAGCAGGCATCTCGGGAATTAAATTCAAGGACGTATTCGGATATCCGAAGAATCAAAAGGCTTCTTTTGTCTTGTGAGAAGATTAAAATATGAGGTTTGTCCGTGTGGATGAAATCTATGCTTGTTTTTCAATTTGAAAATTTGCTGTCTTGAGCCTGTAAAGTGGCTGGCATGACGCAATAGTGTAGCGTTAATATTAATCGGAGATAACAAGGTTGTAGTTGTATAGGAAGTCTTTTCTTGTAAGAAACTTATTTCTGTATTGATCTATTAATAATGGAATTTTATATGTTTCTTTGTCTTTGTAATGTATCATTTTGTAAATTTTGTTTGTGCAAAGTCTGCCTTTTCCTCCATGTATACTGATTTCCACTCATTCTGATAATGATATTAACATGGATTCACAGGACCTGAAATTGAAATATTTGAGGATGTAGCTAACTGTCCATGGATTCCCCACATTGATTCTTAAGGCTGTCTTTACTTGAATGAATTATCACAGTCGATTCGCTGAATTTCATGGATATCTATGTTTGAATTTTGAGAAGCAGTAGATGAAACTATCCAATTAAGTGATTGTCATACTGCTTAATCATACATCCATACAACTTAGGCATACTTAACATCGCATTGTCACTTAGTTTCTGCAAAAGTATCTTCAGCTCCAGTAATGGACAGTTTCTGCAACAGTATTTTCAACTCCAGTAATGGACTACACAGCTTTTTCTAACAGATAATTATTCCAGATATTTTTGCTATATAAATTGAAGAGAAGAAGAAGAAAGGAAACCCCATAAAGAATTTGCTGATAGTAATATCACCCTATTCAATTCAAATTGTAAAATCATTTTAACTGCCTTTTAGGTGCCGAACTCTCCACAGTACATATTAGCTGGAGTTGTGTCACAAAAAGAGGTAACTATGGCATGAACGTAGATACTACTACACTTCTCTCTGTAAAACCAACAGAATGAGGTGTATGACATTTCTCTCCCTAAACAAAAGCTCACCACCTCTTCCTCTTCAAAAAACTTAGCACTGGTCTTTATGACATGATAAAAGCTAGGTATGACAAAAAGTGTGTTTATTTCTCACCTATCTTGTAGATTGAGCAGCTTCTAACTTTGAGGAGGGGAAGAATTTGAGACAACCCACTCAATATCACCATATCAGTAGCAGGGGCAAGGGAAATCCAAAAACCTTAAATTGCATTTTTCTTGTTTCTAAAGTTCTCCTTCAGCGATGCAAATTTCTTCTTGCACTGGTTTACTGTCTTCCCAGGAACTGCAGCAGCTACTCGCTCCCAACGCTGACTGGTCTCCTTGGGGAATGTCTTTAAAGCCTGAACCAATGCCCTTTCTTGTACAGCAGACCACACATCTTGTTCTGAACTTGAAGATACTTCATTAGCAGCAATCCCACCAGCAGGATTATTTGCACTCTTACTGGAAGATTCTTCCAAGCTGTCTGTCTTCACAGCACTGCTTTGAGGCCCCTGAGGTGTTGAAGCACCTAAGTCCTCTCTGGTTGAAAGAGGAGATGAAATGGATGGTGCAGGTTTCCTCTTCTCAAGAAAAGAATCAAAGGCTTTTGAATCATCAGGCTTCTGGAGGAGGACCGATTTGGTTGCCTTTAGAATCTCTTCTACAGATCTTCCAGTACCAATGAACTCTGAAATAACCTCCCACCTCCGAGATGTTCCTTTGGGGTATTTTTGCATTCCTTTCCTTAGAAGCTCAATCTCTTCCTTGTTCCAAGGTTTCTCCTTCTTCTCAAAGCTGCTCAATTTGACGCTTCCATTAGCCTCCATAAAACCATTTTTGTGGCTGCTTTCTTTCTTGTTTTCACCCTTTTCCGCCATATCATTCTTATATGCACTTGCATCTCTGAGAATCTTTGCTTGCTCCAGAACTTCTTTTTTCTCCATCTCATCACATAAATCTCTCAATTGTTCAATGCCAAGTGACGTGCAGAGATTTTCTATATCATTCTCAGAAAGATCAAACAAATGTTGGGATAAAGCAGTCGCAGAGAGTGTTCGAAGGCGAGTCCTCTCTTTCCGAAGGAGTTTCTTCTCTTTCTCCTTCATTTTCTTCTGCTGTACAGCAGCTTCAGCAGCTCGCTTTTCTTCCTCTTCTTTCTTGCGTTTCTCCTCCTCAGCGGCCCTTGCAGCTTCTTCCTCCTGCTGCTTCTTGGCAAGGAACTTAGCTTCCTTTCTCCTCTGCTTCTCAGCTTTCTCCTCTTCTTTTCTCCTTAGTATTCTTGGGTCTCTTTTATAGGCATTGTCAACAAGGGAACGTATCCTAACATATTCTTCCTTCCTTGCTTTCTCACTGAGTTTTGCATTCTGCCTCTCCATCCACCTTTTATGGTCACGAGATTCGGCTTGCTCAAGATCATACTCATCAGCATGTGGGAATTCTCTCCAGCTTTTAAAGGTATACCAAAAATCATAGAAATTGTCAACATTTTCCATTGGAGTATTGTCATCACCCAAAGATGGAGCCGGCTGGTTAACCGACCACCGACCATTCCTCATAAAAGCTGGACCAAACACCTTGAAGAAGTCTTGAGGTGCACAATCAATGGGTATTTCATCATCAAACTCATCTGTGGAGTCATAAATTCTTCTCTTTACAGGATCAATTAAAACTTCATATGCTTCCTGAATGGACTTAAAGTGATTCTCAATTTCATCCTTCTTTGCTTGTTTTGCAGCTTCAGTTTCCTCAGCAAGTAGAAGGGCAGCTAGTTTATCAGGATGATGCTTCAAGGCAGTTTCACGGTAGCTTTTCCTTATCTGATCCTCAGTAGCAAGATATCTCAAATGGGCCAAACCCAACAATGCATAATGATCCTGTTGCTTGCCTTCACCACCGGACTTCTTCTTTCCTTTGGTGCTGTACGAATCAGATGAGGGCACATAAGCTTGTTCCTTATCATTTGAAACTTTCTGTTCATCAGCTTTTGTATCATCTTCCTCATCACAACCAATAAGTTTAAGGGCAGCACAATGGAACGCATGTCCAGCAGGTTCATACTTCACAGCCTTAACAGGAACACAATTTGAGGAAACATAAATTGGCTGTCCATCTACAAGCTCCTGCTCATAAGATATAAGACGGACACGAGTTTGGACAGCCATAGCTTTTATAGATAAACTGCACAACACCAAAAAATTGGAATATGCTAGTATCAATATCAACATGTTAATATATGAAGAATAACATCTAACTTCAAATAGTAAAGTTCGAATTATGCTTCAAATCCCATTAATGAAAAAGAACAAGAACACGGGCGGACCTCAATAGAACATACGTAAAGAACAGAGAACTCAAAATAACTTCAAAATCCCATTTGTAAACTTTTCAAATAATTGGAAGATGAAATATTTCAGCTAACAAAGAATCAACAACACAATCAGATTCAAACTAACTTCTCTGCCAAAAAGTTCCGATCTTGAACTTCATGAGATCTAAGAAGAAGGTTATAAATTTACCTGAAAGTGCTACGTTTATCAGCTCAATCGCTTCGAGCTCCACAGAGAAAGAAGCCCCCGACTTCAGGCTTTTCTGTTATGGCGCGTTAGGGTTTTTTTTCTTCAGAAGAAACTGATGGAATACGCGCCGCCGCAAGCAAAAATTTATAGGGGCTTTTGTTTCTTAACTCAGAGTGAAACGTTTAAACGACGACGTTTGATGGGGGGCCCTTTTGTCATTGTGGGACGGACTAGTCTCTGCGAACAGCCCATCCACGGGGGCCCATCTTTGCGAGATGGACAACCCTTAACCATCAGCATTCAGCCAACCAAAGGGAGCCAGAACAGAAGGCCCAAAAATATTAATTTCGGTAATTTTTAAATAAAAATATTAACTTTTAGTTATTTTTTTAAAAATTATTAATTTTTAAATT